TAATTGTATTTCATCGAGTGTGCAAGTTTACTAGTCTGAACATAGCCTATTTATGTGTACCTTGCCTACATTGATATTATTGAATATAGCCAATTTATTGTGTATCTTTAGTGTGTATTTTTTAACTGATGATGCAGGATGACGAGAATTTATTTCTTGGCCGAACAAAAAGTTGTTTAACTATTATCTTCTTGAATACTAGCGACTTTTGGACGTTTTCACAAATTGCATCATTAGAAGGTTGACAGAAGGCAGCAAATTTTAGAATCAGGATAAATTCAGATCTTCAACACATATCTACAGAAAAACAAACCTTTCTTTGCCTTTACTAGCGTTCTTGCATTATGATGGCAGGCATCCTGATTGTTTATAAACGTATGTATACCCAAATATTTTATCACTTGTTTAGTACACTTTGTTTGCTTGCAATTTAGATAACGAAGTCCAAATTGAAGTAATTGCTGAATTTGAAGAAGAATATATTACAAAATCAGACAATGAGTACCCCAAATTGCGCTGTTACTACGAGGGAGACTGTTACATCTACACTGCTAGCAGCGACTCCAGCTTAATACTGTCAATGACATCAAGCTCATCTATTGCCATCATTCCTGCACATATCAATGATGACCGTGGTAAGAAATTGCAATAAACTTGCATGTTAGCAAAAATCTATTCTCTAATGTTACTGTAATTAAAACTGGGTCTGATAGTATACTGTTTTTTTAAGTTACCAGGATTCTAATAATTATGGCATTACATACCTGAAGGCACATCCACAAATACATGCAGCTTTTCCGCCTTTATGGAGTCCCATCATATTCAAAATGAAAACTAATTTAATCCATTCTCACCTGATTGATTACTTTATTACCATGGTAACAAAGCTTGACTACAGCAGATTGAGTTTTGGTATTTTGCTGCAAATGTAAAACCCAAATAACCCAGGTATGGTTGATGTCTCATAGCCGAGAAAATCTTGGGATTAAACCTATAGAATTAATTTTTAAATGTAAAAACTTTTGTTTTTGGGAGCATTGATTATGTTTTCTTGTAATTGCCAGTGAATACAATTTATAATTTTTAACTAATGGCAGTTTTCATATTGTTAACCATGAAGGTAAATGGAAAATATACAGGTACAGTGTTGTGTGGCCGAAAAAGGTTGAAGAAAAGGCCAAGACAGATAATGTCACTTATCCATCCATTGCAGTAGTCTTTTATAATATGGTGCATCAACAATGCTTAGTTGTTAAGAAATCAGCTCTTACTGTCCAGGTAATAATCATTAAATATACCTTTGCATTTAACCCAGCTTAATTTTAAATAGCGCCCTCTTGTGACAAAGGTCTTTTACATTGCTTAACCTTTTCATCACCAGTTCCTTCTTTTTATCACAAATAGTTTTATTTATAGTCTGCACTTTCCTTCAGAAGACTGACGACATTTTTATGATTCAGTTGGCTCCAAAATTAGGGTTCATTTCCAGAAATATTGAAGAATACAGAAAAAACATGCAAATTTGTGTGAGAAATTCTGGTGGTGAGAAGGTTAACATCCATCCATAAAAAAAAATTTAAGATTTTTATTAAATTTGTCCAAGTGATGAACAAATACATTTGTACATCACAGAAGTTTTGTGGATGTACCACAACTGATAGAAAAGGTGTTATTAATGAAGGAGTAGTGGAGATTTTTGTATCAACATCATTCAAATTTAAACATTCTTCAAACCAGGACACATTTCTCCATGCATATGATAGAATAAACCTTCAAGAGTCAGGATTGTGTACTACATGTATTTGTGAATACTTTAGAAAAAATTCAGTAATGAAACTGAACAGCTCTTAACTGGTCAATTTTTGGCTTACTGGTAAATAAAGTGAAGGGAAAGACTTAGCCACAAAATGCCTGTCGTCCATTGTAAACTTTTCATGTGGGCATGATGAATCAAATAGTATTCTGACAATCACTGTCAAACTTGTATATATGGTTAATCTGTAGGTACAAGTTGGCCATATAGATTTGGAGTTGATCTTCCATAAATTTTTTTTTAGTAAATCCATGCTAGAAACGAGGAATTCTATAATTTCCGTGCGATATTATTTTTGCTTTTTTTCAGCATTTTTTATGTCACATTTTTTTGAAAGTGTTATCAATAGATGGCTCCCTTAACTTTTTGTTAAATGACATTTTAAAAAGAATGCTATGTGTAGTTTAATCGTTTATTTCTGGATGACATTTTGCTTGTGAACAGTAATATGGTAGTAATATACTCTCCAAGTTGTCAGGTGTTGGAAATAGCAGTGTTTTTTGCCCTTTTTTAATTTAATTTTTTGATTTTGCCTAAATACATTGCACATTTGCTAGTACTTTCCTTGCTTCTTTTCGCTTAGATATGTTGCTGAACTATTAATTTTAGAAACTTTTATATGATCTAAGGTATATTACTATTGTTTTATAAAATTATGACTTTTTGGTCTGTATTTTCCAAACAAAATGCATTGTTTCGGGACTTTTGCCTTGCAAAAAAAAGATACTGGTCATTAATGTTATCCCCATACTTTTGTTATTTAATCTGGTTCTCAATATACAAATTTGTAATAATTACACTTGTTTTTAATCGATTCATTTACTTTTCCATCAGAGACCTTTATTCAACAATCTCAAAAAGTTGAAAAAAATTGACAGCAGAATATTTTTTGAAAAGATGATGAAAGGAGATGATCGTATTGTGTTTGAGTCAGCAAAGTATCGAGGTAGGTCTTCAAGTAAGCAAAATATCTTGCAGTAGATTACTCTTTGTTCACAAGATTCCCAGCTTTGCCAAACATAATATACAAAACATGTTCTAGTGTTTAGCTCTATCCATGATTTTTGTGGTTGCTAATTAAAGAAAGGGAGTTGTCACCAGCGCATGCTTCAGATGGCCATAGCACGCCATTGTTTACAAACAAGCGTCTACCCATGAGTCCTTGCGTTTTTAGCGTGTTATCATCGCTTGAACTCAATTCCTGCGTGTGAGCAAGTGACGACCCTCTCACTTTAAATGTTTCCTTTGCCTCCAATACCTGTTTTTTAGTACACAGGAGATCTTTACATTTGTTTGATTTCCTTTTAATTTATAGGACAGTACCTTGCTAAAAGTGGGAAAAAGCTCATGTTAATGAAACAGGACAAGAACAATCCTCAGCTGATTACTAAGTTTTCTATCCATAAAATTGGCAATGTCTTGAGTGTTGAAACCAACGTGTGAGTTATGTGCAGGGTCTAAATGACTTGAATGTCCACAACTATTTGCAAGCCAGTATGATTTCAAAGTGAACCAATTCTGCCATGGAAACCAAATTAATTTTAAGCATGTTTAAAACATTTTTAAACAATATTTTTACATTTTTTTTAAATTTGATATATCACTACCAGATCTTATACTGTGAAATGCGATAGGAGACTTCAAAATCCGTATTGTAAAATTGCAGATTTCTGTGATCAGGTGATTTTTGGTCAGTATGTTGAGTAGTTGATGGCACATCTAACTGTTTATTTTAGAAAGCTTTTAGTCCAAGGTTTCACTTATTTTTATCCAATCAGATCTCTAGTTGTACAATTGACATTCAACCATTGTATCATAAGTATTTGTACCTACATTATGTAACGATTAATAATATTGACTACTGTAGAATAATTTATTTTCGCTGAAGGGATGATTCCGTGAAAATAAAATCCAGCGAATATACTTTTTTTCCTATATTTCACATTAAACTCATCAAAAATCAGTGAAAATAAATTCCAAGCAAAAAGCCTTTTCAGCGAAAATTAAATCCAGCGAAAATAAAGTATTCCACAGTATTTGTACTTCCTATCAGCTAAGGGAATTTTATGAATATGTACACCATAAATTTAGACTTTGTACTCATCCCTCATCAAGAGTGCATTCAGGGTTGCAATTGATATGCTATTGATAATTAATACACACAGCTACAAGTTTCACAATATAAAGTTAACATAATTTTCAGTGTAGAATGTACAATTATCGAGTGGCAAATATTGTGGGAGACTGAATATTTAATTTTGCAGTGTATTTGTAATTAAAATCCAGTTGTGTGCACTAACACTGATAAATCCTGGTGCACTCATCAGTTCTTGTACATTTGCACTGATAAATCTAGCCCTGCGTGTACAGGGACGTGTTTGGTTGATAGATGTCCCCTACCACAGCGCTGCGTACCTCCATAGACGAAGTACGGGACTTTGAAAAATATAACTTTTTTTAATGAAACAACATGCCCAGGTACCAAAAATGATGATTAACAGATATATCCAGCACTCCCAGTTCGAAGTCCAATTGTGGATGAAATCGGCTATTTTGCCCTAAAACAAACGCATTCTCTCGCATGAATTAAATTAAAAATGTTGACGTTTGGTGGATGATTCCTCCGGTACCTACACATTTACAATTTTTCCGTCTTTAGTAGTTGTTTTTTTAAGACATTTCAGTTTCAGATAATTTTGTAATGGTTGTTACTGATAACTATCGTCATTTCAACCGATTTCGGCTGGGAAACTACTTATTTTTAACTTGCGCACCCAGACTTTATCTATGGAGGTATGCAGGGCTGTGGTTGGGACATCTATCAACCGACCGCGTCCCGTTACACACAGCACTGTACGCAGGGCTGTGGTGGGGACATCTATCAACCGAACGCGTCCCTGTACACACATCACTGTACGCAGGGCTGTGGTGAGGACATCTATCAAGCGACTGCGTCCCTGTACACACAGCACTGTACGTAGGGCTGTGGTGGGGACATCTATCAACCGACTGCGTCCCTGTACACACAGCACTGTATGCAGGGCTGTGGTGGGGACATCTATCAACCGAACGCGTCCCTGTACACACAGCACTGTACGCAGGGCTGTGGTGGGGACATCTATCAACCGACCGCGTCCCTGTACACACAGCACTGTACGCAGGGCTGTGGTGGGGACATCTATCAACCGACCGCGTCCCTGTACACACATCACTGTACGCAGGGCTGTGGTGGGGACATCTATCAACCGACCGCGTCCCTGTACACACAGCACTGTACGCAGGGCTGTGGTGGGGACATCTATCAACCGACCGCGTCCCTGTACACACATCACTGTACGCAGGGCTGTGGTGGGGACATCTATCAACCGACCGCGTCCCCGTACACACATCACTGTACGCAGGGCTGTGGTGGGGACATCTATCAAGCGACCGCGTCCCCGTACACACATCACTGTACGCAGGGCTATGATAAATCCTAATGCACCATCAGAGTTTATGTTATAAAAACTTCACTATGAAGTTTTTGATATTTTGTTAACACTGGCTGAAATGAGAAAATCAAAGAAAGCTTAGAAAGAACTCCCGTGTGCTGAGAAGCATTGAAGACACATTAAAAATTAATTCAAAATTACTTGTATACAAGATATTGATGGAAAAAGCTGAAAACTAATTTGATTTGATTGTAAAACTAATAAGGTCTGCATAATGTAATATCTATTTACCAAGTTTCATTGAAATATGATTAGAACAAAAAAACTATGAACAAATTTCAACCCATAATTAATCGGGCCTGTCTATCGTCTTAGAGCATTTATGTACCAAATTTTATTCAAATGTGACGATCAGTAATTGAGATATCAGTGTTAATTAATTATTTTAATTAGGTGATTAATAAGCACAACTATTTAATTGGGTCTCTGCATAGTTTTAGATTCATTGAAATTTGATGATGAGAAAGTTTCATTAAAAATCCAATTGGTAGTTCTTTATATATCAGTGGAATATCCATGGACAAAATTAACTAATTATGCAAATTAGGTAATTAATATCCACAATTATTTACCCTAAAACTAATCAGGTCTCTACATAGTCCTAAAAGATCTATGTAGCAAGTCTCATTGAAATATGATTATTACTCGAGATATCAGGCAAAAGCTGAACATGAACTAATTATGCTAATAAGTTAATTAATATGCACAATTATTTACCCCAAAACTAATCAGTCTTGCACAGTCCTTAAGTAACTATGTATCAAGTTTCATTGAAATGTGATGATTACTACTTGAAATATCGAAAGCTAAAATTAATTAATTATGCAAATTAGCTAATTATGCTAATAAGTTAATTAATATGCACAATTATTTACCCCAAAACTAATCAGTCCTGCACAGTCCTTAAGTAACTATGTACCAAGTTTCATTGAAATGTGATGATTACTACTTGAAATATCAAAAGCTGAAAATTAATTATGCAAATTAGGTAATTAATATATACTGATATTGCCCTAAAAACTATCAGGTCTGTGCAGTGTCCTATGACGTCTATGAACCAAGTTTTATTAAAATGTGATGATTATTACTTGAAATATCAAAAGCTGAAAATTAATTAATTATGCAAATTAGGTAATTAATATGTACTGATATTACCCTAAAAACTATCAGGTCTGTGCAGTGTCCTATGACATTTATGTACCAAGTTTTATTGAAATGTGATATCAGTGGAAAAGCCAAATATTGATTAATCATTATGCAAATTAGGTAATTAATATTGCACAGATTTTTATCCAAAACTAATAAAATCTGCACATTAGTTCAGACCATATATGTGCCAAGTTTTATCAAAATCCAATGAGTGGTTCTTTAAATATTCTTTAGATATCAGTGGAACAGTCATGGAACAGCTAAAAATCAGCTAATTATCACGCAAATTAGGTAATTAATATGCATGGGATTTTTACCAAAACCTAATCAAATCTGCGCATTGGCCCAGAGCATCTGTGCACCAAGTTTCATCAAAAATCAGTGTATGGTTCTTGAGATATCAGTGGAACAGACGGACACACATACATACATACAGACACGCTAACTGCAAAGACTCCCATTGTGTGCACACAGGAGTCAATTAATATGTACCAAAATGGCCCTAACACTAATCATGTCTGCACATTACCCTGAGGTACCAAATTTAATCACAATCTACTTTGGAGTTTTTGTTTACACACGCCCAATCTGGCCTGAATGCTCTTGACATCGCTGCCACAAAGTATGTGTTACCGCACAAGGGAACAAATTAATAATTAAAGCACCAGTTAATGGTGTACTTGCATTTATTTCTAGCCCAATCACAACTAGACAGATGCAACCTGAAATTGACAATTTACTTACAAGAAAAGATATATAGTTATATGGGACAGAAAGTAAATATTATTCATGGCACTAGATTTGTTTTAATATACCATGGAAACAACCTATCAACTCATTCATGGCTGTCTATAATGCTGCCTTTTGTTTCGAGAAACTGAAATAGACTTGGATGAGTAATATGCAAGAAAATTTTATAATAGGATAATTTAATAATTAACTGCCTTGATGACAATATTTGGAAAAATAATGATAATATTGTTTTCAAACTATTGAAGATACTGATAGTGGCGGAGTGTTAAATAAAATTATGTTGTGGTTACCACCGTAAAAATGTCCAACAGTGATTCTATAATGCAATGTTGTTACTAAGAGTACAAGTTTTTTCATATTCATGTTATTGTTCATTTTAAAGCTGTTATAAACATTACTTTAGAGAATAAAATGTATGTATATAAAATAATGAGAAAAAGGAAGACACTGAAATGTTGTTTTATTTCATCTTCATAAAATAAACATTTGCTATGATATCTGCAGCTTCTTTAGTTCTTTCTGTAATTCCGCTTCACATGCTATTTTCTTCAGCTGATTAGGATCCATTTTCTTGCCAGATGCCTGTTCTTCCTTCATCTTTCTTATCTGATTCAGTTTCTGATTCAAAGACGGAAACAACTTAATCAATCTATCTATATCTATTGTAGGATGGATCACAGCATTCTATGAACTATTCTGTAAAACTGCTTTGATGGAATAGAATATAAACTAAAAAATTGGAAACTTGGTAAACTCGGTCCAATAAAACAACTACTGAACCACATTCATGGGATTGAGCTTCTAAATCTGACCAATCACACGAGTGGTGACAAAATTTAACATTTTGTTATTAAATCTTGCATGTAAAAAGAAATAGTGCAGTATACATTTTACCGGAATTCAGGCAACTGGCATGAAGTCGGAGTCGAAAATTGAGTGTCACCAGAACACAAGTTACTTTTGTTGGTACTTTACTTTCTAAATTTTATTGAGAAGACGCCTGCCTCGCATTCATTCACACACACAAACACACACACAACATGTTTCCCATATTTTGAGCAAACCAACCTTTTTTACTGCTCTAAGTCTATTCTCTGTTTCCTTAGCTGGATTATTATCACCACTTGAAATTGGAGCAGTGACATAAGTTGCCATGGCAATTGCATCTTTCTGTTCCTGTGACCTTGAATCCTGCAAGAGACAACAGAGATGCTTCACTCTTATTTCAGGAGAATTTACACAGAATTTACAAACAAGCGACCTCATGGTCTAAATAGCTCTGCTGTCTTTTCAAAGTGTCTTACTCAAAACAAAGTTGATATTATTCTATACAATATTAGCTATTTGCCATGTTTATTAGTTATCCATGCATGTATGCAAAGGACTTATTTACATTGCACAATTCTATAATAATGCACCAGAAATACTGACCCAATTAGCTTAAAGTGAGACAGAGTTAACCTGAAGAGATATTCACAGAATATGCCTTTTTCAAGGAAATAATCTAATAAAATAAACTAATAATCACTGCATTGTTGATATAACATCTTCGATGACATTAGAACTAAAAAAAATATGTACTCACAACATGATCAGCCTGTTGCAGAGCCCTCACTTTAGCTTCTTTTCTTTTTTTCTTTTTCAATGCAGTCTTGGATAAACCTTCTATTGAAAATGATTGAATTGAACATGTATGGATAAGTATTGCATTTAGGTCAATTAGGTAATTAATATAGAAGGATTATTAAACTGATCAGGTCTGTACATTATCCCAGGGAATCTACATATTATGTTTAATTGGAATCTGTTTAATGGAAATCGGACTACTAACATGAAGGATTAAATCTTTTGACATATGATCTCAAAGTACAAATGTAGCCTATGACGCTAAGCTGATTTGCAAAATGATACAACAGTTGATTTACCTGGATTTGTGGTTTGAGTTTTCATATTCTGAGGTAACTCTTTATCATCAGCATGCTAGAGAAGAAATGAAGAAAAACGATTAAACAGATTACTTGCTAAACATCAAATAAATGAGAAATAAATACAAAATTGCATCCTACCAAACCATCAGCTTTTCTTTGAGGTTGTCCTCTCAATCCTGGTGGCCGATAAGCAGCTGGCTTTGGTTCTGGTTTGGAGACTTTGATAGCACTATGACCCCCTGATCTAGTAGACTTTTCTTGAAATACTTCTACTGGGAATGACTGCCATTTTGCTTCCCACAATTCAGCATTGGCTTCTATTGTCGTTTCATAAAGAAGAGCACCAGAGTAATTCCAGATTTTGAACCTGTGTGTAAATAATGACAGACCATTTACACATTTAACAATGTTACATAAATGTCCCTATTAGATTGAAATTAAATCTTTGAGTACAACACAATAAAAGACATGTATGATGAAGATATGGAAGGGATGTGATATTTGAAGGAGATGATGAGAATTCAGGAAATGTAAATTGCAAAATCGAAAAATCTAGAAATCACTTCCAGACAGTGAGTAATTATATAAAATGGTAATGGTTAGTGTGTTTTTTGCTCATGTTTTATGATAATCTTGATAGTCTTGCTAATTTCTAATTAGTGCACATTGTGTTGATTAGTAAATGAGACGGACTGACGATCTAAATTGGGTATCACTGTACATGGATATCAGTTTGCATACGACAAATAGTCATTCATCAGACATCATGAAATTGAAGTATTGAATATTTCAATATATAATACACATTTTTTTCTCATTAATAATAAATCACTTCGATACTACATTTGTTTGGATTGAGGTGTATTTTTAGTCATAGGATATAAAGACCAAGACTAATTCTATTTATAAGAAACTTGCCCATTGCCAACTCTGAGTCTTGGAGCACATGTTGATGTCAGGATATGAACCCCATCTGGACACCACTCAAAAGATGTAGAATCACTGGCCTGCATCTCGCTCACCATATTCAACTGTTTGCGATCCCAAAATTCCTTGAAATCAAATCATGAAGGGTAATACATAATGAATTACCATAACAAGTCATTGTTAATGGATCTCAAATTATTTCTGACCACACTAACACAGGTTTCCACTCATTTTGGGAATACCATAAAAACCTACAATACAACTATGTAGGAAAAGCATTTTTTTCCGAAATTTTTTTAGATAGCCATAATCAAGTGGCCTGTCTCTGTAAACATCTCCCGTTTAACCTTTTCACCACCAGTTCCATCTTTTCATCACAAATTCACAAAATAGTCCTGTTTATAGTCTGCTCCTTCGTTTAGAAGATTGGAATAAAACGAGTCAAATCTTTTGAGTAAAAGCTGAAAATTGACTCAAATTTTGTCAGTTGGCTTCAAAATTAAGGTTCATTTCTAGAAATATTAAAGAAAAATTTGAACAAAAAAATCTGGTGGTGAAAAGGTTAATTTCTTTTGCCTACAAGATTGGTACACAGTAACTATCTGCATTCCATTGGCAGTTTCAACAGAACATGTAGAATTTGCATTAAAGTGCCTGTGCAATGCCTACCCTCGCGTTTCCCATTTTAGATCTGTATCCCACTGAAACGAGCAGTTATTGATTTTTTTGCTGAAAATGATTACTCGTATCCAAGTAAATTTGGGATATTTCTCGTGTTGTAGCCACGCTCACCTATCCTGAAACGGTTGACTGTTTCCGGATTTCCGACTCGCCGAAAGTGCGCCATCAAATGCCAAAATGTGAGAGGAAGTCATACCCCTGAGCCGTAATAACACTGGTCATTCAGTATACTTTTAAACGATATACATTTTTCAGTCGGCGTTTTTTCTTCTTCTTTTTTTGTCTATTTTCTTTTTTTTTTGAGAGAGAGAGTTTTTAGATGTTGTGTTGTGAAACGTATAGTCATAGTGCAAGTATTCACACGTTTCTAATCGATCCGAAGGTGCGACATTAGTGGACAAAAGCCACTTAACCTCAGATTCATTTTTTGGAAAAACTGTCCTCGTTCATGAAAAAAACAACTAGGTTTTAAGAGAAATGCCGACAACATAAACCTGGCGCAACACTTTTGAAAGAAATAGATTCCGGACCATGATCACCGAGGCGTATTTCAGAAGAGAGAGAGAGATGTCCGGCAAGTGTTTCAAATGAGTCGACTTTTTTGCGATCCTGATTATCGTTTTATAGAGACCATTTAGTCCCTGTTAAGTAAAAGCTCAGACTAGTAATACTAGTATTACTAGTCTGAGGTAAAAGATAGCAATAATTTTGACAGTGACACGAAAACGAAGCGTCGGACAAACAGGAAATTACACAGCCCTTACACACTGCTAATTGTTTTCATTTTCGAAGGCTAAAAGTTTCTGAATTGTTTGGTGGTTTGTGTTGAATGTCGAATTCTGTTCTTTTTTTACCTCCATGCTTGCAGCTTGATCTGCGTAATAATTTCTGAAATAAGAATCCGGGCTTGGTCAATGTGTTTCCACCAAATAAAGTTTTAATATGATGTTATAATTATGACAATCACGCCATGGATCACGCTAACTCGAATCCACTTTGAATTTATCTGTATGTGTGTCGATCCCGATTATTTTTGTTATCCAATTAAACGCCGCTTTTAACGCACTTGCCCTCGCCGTGACCCGACGCGTTCACCTATTTCAACAAAATTTCAATTTATTTCCACGCGGCTGTCATTTATTTTGTAACTGTGATTTGTCGTTTTTTAAATTATTTTACAGTGATCACTATGGTCTAATGTTTAGAATGTCAAAATATGTTCTCTTTTATTTTAATTTTGAAAGCTTTCCTCAGACGATCGATGAAATAAAACAGTGTAGTGACGTGCCTAGTAACCTGCTAAAGAACGAGATAATTCTGATGTCAAATTCTATTTTGTCCAGCGATAGTGTACAAACGTGCGCCGCTGACGATCACGGTGACCAGCTACACCAGAACGAACATCTAAGTAAACCCCATGCAACAAAAATTGATACTATGTGTTCATTATGGTCCATTCCTCCTCGACGAACAAGTACATAAGTGAAAATTTAGTCAAAGACGAGAAAACTGCAGAAGAAATTTGTCTTATTTACACGTATCGGCAATGTAAGCTGCCATGCGACTTCCCCTTCTGACGTCACAAGGAGAATTTCTGTATGCAAATAAGAAGTTAATGAGGAGCCTCGTTTTAAAATACACAAAAATAAAGTTGCCGTAGATTGAGTTTAAAACACATTTTTTCACTTAAAAAAATAATTCATGCTTAGAAACATAACAAAATAATAATATTTATGTATCAATGGATAATTTTAGGCGTGAAAATAGCAGCCATTTCACAGGCACTTTAAACTGCTAGCATACAACTTTAGAGATCCCAATACTCACCATGTTACCCCTCAGATTACCAAATCCAGCAAGACAAATAAGTGATAATAGTTCAGGAAAGTAATACAATGGTACGGGCATGTTTACATGTTACTGTTTACAAGTATGTTTGCATGAGCTTTAAGGTAGAGATGCAGTTTCTTTGTGAATTTCAATCAAAAATAGTTTTTTTCGTTTTTCATATAGATTTTTATCTGGAGAACATTCTGTGAAAATTTGATCAATGAATTCTTAATGGAACACCGTTAAAATTGCTGGTTATTTTCTGATTAAAAATACAAAACACTCACACGTGGCAATGTTTATGTCCAATTGCCTAATTTGCATGAGTAAGCAAATAACAGGACCTTTGATTGACAATATGCAAATCGCGATTGTACGGGTCATAGTTCATTCAATCACGCGCATGTACAATTATTCTGAAATCAGTTCTCGCTCGCTAGCAAACCAAACATTATATTTCCTCGGCGTTTTTTTCCTAATTTTTATCATTACATTATGCGTGGCGTAAAAAGAAAGAGAGGTAGAAAGAAGATTCAGAGATTTCTATGTCGGAGAGGCAAAATCTACACTGAAGGCATCAGACCGCCGAACGAAA